AGGGAAGATTAAAGAAATTTCAGGAAGTTCAAAAATTAACATTTTTATGGACCTATTTTTCCACTAAATAAAAGTATTTCTCGATTTCCATAAATTACTGGGATGGAGCCATCAACTGTTTTTCGACTCTTTGGTTTCCAAAAACGGCGAGGAAATGGAAGCATTAGTATAAAGAGTGTAAAGCATAAGACATTTTTGAAGATGAATTTTTTTTAGAGCAGGCTCAAAAATTGTAATTTTCAAAAAGATAAAAGTCTCTCACAAAAGTTTCCTCTGAAAATTCAGTGCGGGCAGGCAGTAATCAATTTGATTATTAATGAAAAATCGGTATAAATCGGTATTGTAACTTTAAAATCGGTATTCTGAGAAACCTTATCTGTATATCGGTATCAAGTTTGAAAATCGGTATGTCTGGCAACGCTGGTTTCAACAAACCATCGTTGTTTATGGCTTTGTTGTCGTTTGGAACCAGTTATGCGAGGTAGGCGCACTGCGGTGTCAGAAACGTCATCCACCAACATTTTGCTTGATGCCAAAGTTGTTGGGTCTTTGGCTCGATTATCTTCCAATCTAAAAGCCGGCGCACAATGGATAAGTTTTCAGGTTTTTGACAGTTAGCCCATGCATTATCTGTCAAAAAACCCGGAAACTTATGCATTGTGCGCCAGCCTTAAGACAGCAGATGCAAACGTTGAGAAATTATGCTCCGTTCACATAGATGTTAGATTTGTTGCGTGGAAAAATAATTGTGATAAATGTTAAACAAATGCGTACATGTAGGAATTAAATATGTATTATATTAATTTTTAAATTAGGCAAGCTAATCATCAAAAATTCAAGTTTCATTAATGATTATTCACAATATTTGAACTGGCTTCTGAATGAAGCCGATAAAACTTCCAGAGAAAGAATAAAGTAGTTCTTCTAGTGTAAGTTTTAAGAAAGTTCTAAGAGAAGTCGGAAAAGCTTCAGGGGAACTTCATAGACAAATATTGAAAAACTTCTGGTGACAATTCAAAGAAGCCTTCGGAAAAAAAAAATCGGATGACACATCCAGAGGAAACCAGACAAGATTCGAAAATCTGAAACAAATTCCAGGAGTAGTAGCCATTTCCAGGGAAAGACAGAAAAATCTCAGAAAATCTCCGGTTTGGCGCCTTCCTGACCTTAAAAACACGTAGCCCAGCCCGCTTCATGGTCTGCTGGACGAACCACTTCGACGAATTGACCTTTTTGGCCACGTCTCGGGTGTAAAGGTTCGGGTTATTCTTAAAGTACTGCCTTATCTTCCGCGCCTTCTCTTCGCGTATTCCGTTTTCGGTTTTCAGCCGCTTCCAGCGCGCCGCTCGATGGTCTTCGTCTCCTGGAACATCTTCACAACGCGGGACACGGTGAAATGGTGGATTCCAAGCCTTTTGCCGATCCATCTGTGCGACTGACCAGGATTATCGATCACCGCGCCCAAAATTTGCTGGTGTAGCTCTTCTTGTTTCGAATGCATCTTGAAAACTACTTGACAGATCGTGATAAATTGTTGCACACGTATACATAACACTCTAAACTAATATTACCCAAAATTTCATTAATAATTACCCAAGCGATAAACAAAACAAAGAGTCGCATTTTTTCCGAGTCCAGTCTTTAGAAGTCGAAAAAAAAAACAACGGAGGAAGCTCCCGAGGAAGACGAACAGAATTTCTGGGAGATACATTTGATAGAAGTTTAATTGAACTTTCTGGAGAAGACGGAAGAAACTTCCTGGAAACGCTGGAAGAAACTTCCCCAACTAACAATTTTCACAATGTAAACGCTTTACTCATTTCATTTATACAGCCTCAAGCTGTATTCAAACGTTATACGATATGAGGAAACCTTTACTCAACCTCTATACAAGCAAATCTGGCGAACTTAGTCAGCTACTTATGGCTGTTGGAACGGTCGGGAGAAGCTCTTATTGCATATCCATTAACGCTTCTATACAGCTGTTATCCTGCTGTTTAGTCGTGTGTGAACTTGAAAGACGCTTATTCGACCTTTTCCCGGTAATCCAATAATCACTACACAGCTTTCTCTTGAAGCCGGGTTAAATACTGTTTACGCTTTTTTATGAAGGAATTTATTGAGTTTATTTTGCTGTGAATCAATTTAATCGAAATTAGTTACAAATCATCACCAAATTATTTACCCTGCACCGGAACCTGGAATCGAATTCGAGACGACCTCATCGGCAAACCTTGACACTACCAACTATGCTACGCCAACACTTTGAACTTATGTAAACAAATCAACATTCCCTTCTACAACAAAATCGCTGAGTAGAGGCTTTATAATAGTGCACACGAATCACTTTTCTCGACTAGTTATAAAAGAGCAGAGTAAAAGCTGTAAAACTGCACACGTTTAAAAATAAACCTAGTTGACTGTGAAAATGCTTCCGAAGTTGCTCTAACACAGTTTATAAGCTGAGTACAGGTTGTTTAGTTGTTGAAAAAGCACTTTTGATGTTCATGTTATTCAGCAAGAGTGGTTGCTTGTTTAGAAGCCATCAAATGAGTAATATATTCACTTTGTTAGCTTTGTTTTGCAGCTACAAGTTGAAAGTTGATTAGTGTGTGTATAGAAGTGACATTAGCGTTTATTGGCTGATGTTTTTCAGTGCGACTGACAAATTGAATAATGGTCGAGAGAAAGTTGAGTAAACGCTCTCCAAAACTATTTTGCTAGCTTTTGCTTGTAGCTGTATCTGCAGCTTCTTTTCAGCTACTTTACAGCACAACGCTGGAAAAGTTGGCTTACAAAGCTGAAAATGTTAGTTGGAAATTCCTAAGATAGATTGGAAGAAACTTCTGGAGAAAGTCGGAAGTCAGAGGGCTTACGTATCAGTCGAAAAAAAAAACTTCAAGGAGAAGTTCGGGAAACATTCCCTGAAGTTTCTTACATGTTCTAATGATCCCGAGTAATTTTCCTGATTTTTATAAACATACCTGAAGATCCAACAATGCCCCTGAAGTTAAAAGTTTTCGAATCTTTCCTCACAATTTTCTAATGTTCATGTTACTTCTCTTACGTTTCCAAATTTTTGATGAGCTTCTCGGAAATCCTTTAAAGTTTCAACACTTTCCTTTAAATTAATTGATCTGTTCTGATGTTGTCAGAGCGTCCCTAAATTATCTGAATTCCCCCGGAGAAATGGAACAGTGCTGAAAACCATTAAATTTGATTTGCACTTGTGAAATTTCCAAAATATTTCTGATGTTTCCTTAGGTTCACTGGAGTTCTCTGGACTTCCCTGAAATTTCCGGGTTCTCGAATTTTAACAGAATTGCATGAAACTTTCTTTAATTCATCGGAACTTACCCAAAAGTCTGGACTATTCTGAAGGTTCAGAACTTCTCAAAAGATCTTGCAGTTTTCATGAAGCAATAATGAAACCGCAATAGAACACTTTAAGCATCCCTGAAGTTGGGGAAGTTGAAAAAAAAACTGTCGAGAGAAGATGAAAGAACCTTTCGAGCGAAACCAGACGTCCAAGGGAAGTCGAAATAACTTTCCCGTAGCAATTGAAACATAACTCATGGGGTAAGGTGGAAAAAAATTCCATGGAAAAATTGAATAAACTTCAGGAAGATAAAAAAAAAACATTTTGATGGACCCACTTATTCAATGAATAAAAGTATTTTCCGATTCCCAGGAATTACCGGGATGATTCATCAGTTGTTTCTCGATTTCTGGGTAGCCAAAAACGGCGAGGAAATGGAAACTTTAGTCGAAGGAGTATCAAGCGTAAGACTTCTCTCACAATGATTTCTTCCATCAGTTTAGCGTAGTTAGGCAGTAATTTTGATTATTTAAAAAAAAACGGTATAAATCGGCATAAAATCAAAAAAAAAAAACGGTATTCTGAGAAACCATATCTGTCCATCGGTATCAAGTTCAAAAATCGGTATAAATACCGATACATCGATCTGGCAACGGTGATTGGGTAGACGACGATTGTTCGTACACGGCGAATGAGAACGACCCAAATTTGAATTTAGTTCACTCATAATCACCAAAAGTGCAGGAACTCAGCGATGAGTAAATTTGCCTCAAGTGAATATTATACCAAAAAAACGCAAATCCGCCAAATTGTCCAGATTGTCCAGACAGAGAGATATTGGGCTCTGATGAAGCGGAAGCTTTCAGGAAAGAATCAAGGAATCAAATATCAAACACTTCAAACAAATTTGGAAAAAGACGGCCAGGAGTCTGTACAAACCCTAATGGATGGAGTTAAGCACAAAGTTCGAAATTTTTATGCAAATAGCGAATAACTATGATTTGACTTCGTGGGGCCTCAATTAGATGAATGGGGTTTAGCTGGGTACAGCGTTTTGACTCTTAAGCCGGATGCTAATATTTTCTCCTCTCGATTTTAAATTGGCTTACTACTTGACTAGCCTATTGGTCCCAAGCAAATCGATTTACGTACTCCATTCTAGTCAAAATTCTAGTACAATACTATGTTTGTTTTGATTTGCTATGAAAGTTTGACAGATAAAATGAGGGGTTCGTGGATTTTCCTATGTTTCGAAGGGTGCATCGATTAGCTTAGGACCGAAGAGAGCACCAGAGCTGAGCCAAAAAGTTGAGCACGTTTCTTCGGGACCTTCCGGTCTTAGAGTTACCTCTATGGTATTATCACATCACTGACCACACAATATAAAAATGTCTCAGTTATCAGTTGAGAAAAGCCGTTAAATTCCAGTTGGACCCTCTTAAGCTAATTTGGGGTCTTATCGTTTCACGTGCCTTAACATTTTTATCTGATATATAGTACTTCTCCACGAACCAAAAACGCCACTTTTTCCCAAACCATCCCTCTCGTTTGCCGAACACCGCCGCCATGAATGCCACTCTCTTGGCTAATGATCATGCAAACATTCAATTCGATCGTCAGAACAGGACAGTAACGGTAAAACTGGTAAAACTCTATACAATTTCCTTTCCTCTCGTTTCAGTTTTGCTGATTGCGACATGTGCCTGTTTCGTTAGCGCTCTGCCGAAGGAACGCCGCTCTTCGCAAGATGTAGCAGCTGAGGAGCGCAATTTGGTCGGCCACTCGACCAACATCATAACGGCCAGCCTTCTCAAGGGCAGTGCGGATTCCAATGCCAATCAGGTATTTTCACCGGTTGGATTTGCGTCCATACTGGCCATGATCAGCGAAGGAGCCGAAGGGCAAACCCTGCAGGAGTTGTACGATGTGCTCAAGTTCCCCACGGAAAGGACAGTCGGTAATTAGCCGTTTTGTGTTTATTTAAAAAAAAAAGTGAAGATGTTTATTAAATCATTGCATTTCAGTTCGCAGTGCCTTCGATCAATCGCTGAAGCGTCTCAGCGCGCAGAACCCTGCCAATGAACCGCAGTTTAAGAGTTGGTTCTACATCTACAAGAACAACACGATCAAGCAGGAGTATCGCAGCGTGCTGCAGAACAGCTACTATGTAGATGTTCGGGACATTGAACGCAATGATTACAATTTCGACGAGCCAAAGACGTCAGTTGGACCGATCGAAGCGTCGATTGATCTGACCCCGGACGAGGAGCTGACCGTCGTTACTCAGGTTGTTCCATCGAATAACAACAGCAAGGATATCATCGACTTTGAAGTGCTGAAGATCAAGTCCGTCCCCGTGGATGATGTGCGATCGGACGTTGCGAGCAAGTACGATGAGGTGGATGAAGGTGATAATCCCAAGTTTGATAAGAACATCGAGGATAAGGAGTACGTGGAACCGACTCAGATCAAGGAGGAAATCGCCAAGCAAAAGGATGAAAAGACCAACGAAGTGCTGGACGAACCGGTAACTAAGGTAGTTGAGGATCGAGTTGATCGCGAGGTGGAGGATGCTCCGCAGAAGTTTAGTTTGTCGTTGAAGAAGTTGGACGGTGAAGAGCACGAGATCATGCATGCCGTTGAGAGTCAAGCTTCCAGGCAGAGGGTAATGGGGACAATGTGAAATGGTACGTGAAGTTTACCTGAAATTTGAATTTTGTTACAGTTCAACGTTAGACGGTCGTTCCTGTCGGGGGATGTTGCTTCTGCGCTGAGTGGAAACTCATTGGTCGGTCGTAAAGCTAATGCCAAAGAAGGGGAGGAGGATCAATCCGAGTCCAAGATGTTGCTATTCAATGGACTGTACTACCGTGGCAGTTGGGCTAGTCCGTTCCAGGTAAGATGATTGCGGACTGGAGTAGCGTAGGAGTTCCATTAAAATCCGTTTTTTGCAGATTAAATCCGATGAGGGACAGTTTTCGGTCAACGGTCAGCAAAAGCGAGTGACTATGATGCGTTCTTCGGGTAATTTCGGCGTTGGATCAAGCCAGGAGCTGGATGCCAAATTCATCGAGCTGCCATACAATGTAACCATTTATTGATTATGGATCATTCACCACAAAAAACAAAACTAATCGTTGATCTTCTCTTCACAGAACTCTCGCTATTCGCTGCTAGTGATGGTCCCCAACAAGGATGACGGTCTCAAGGATTTGATCAAGAGCTTCAACTGCCAGAGTCTGAGCAGTGCTCGGAAGATGCTCAAAGAGATGCCCGTTGAGATCAGCATGCCCAAGTTCCAGATCGATACCACGAGCAGAGCTGAAAAGGCACTTGCTAAGGTTTGCTGAACGACTTCCACATCCAAAAGATCACTTCAATAATACAACAATTCTCCATTTCAGCTGGGACTAATCACCATTTTCACCTCGAAGGCCGATCTCAATGGAATCACGGACGAACAGAAGATCCACGTCGATGAACTGGTGCAGCACGTGTCGATTCGCGTGGATGAAGGTTCGAGCAGTGAAACGGCTCTGTCCGCCACCAATGTTGTCGAAGCGAAGACAGTTGCCGGAGAAATGGAAGAATTCACCGTCGATAGGCCGTTCCTGTTCTTCGTTCGTGATACCGTCGATGATTTGGTGATTGTCGCTGGCAAGATCAGTGACGTTCCGGCAGCGGACGATTAAAGACTTGACCTCCATTCCCTCTAGTTTGTAAGCAGATATTAAAATTAACGTTTTAGTTAAGCATCGTCTCATCTCATCGTCGGAGCTCTTGCATCCACTTGAAGTTGCATTCATCAGCATTTTCAGGTTCATATCCACTAAAAACTTCAACACTACAGGAACACAACTTCGCACATTTTCACAACACAATATATCCTGACTCCCGTACATTACCGTAACGATGGAATCGCTTCGGGACAAAAAATAAAACATAAAAACACGAATTCATAAATTTTCGCATCTTGTGCTGGTGATTTCATAAGATGGCGATAATTTTGGCGAAAAAAAAACTGATCCCGAATCTGATCTTCCATGTGTGGACATCCCGGAGCAATCGATTTGCGAGAAAATCTTTCCAAAATATGGCCCATTGTATTTTGGAATTGCATTTGGAACTACGGCGAAACCGGGATGTCCACATTCCGTCATCGAACTTGGTTTTTTTACATTTTTTAAGTTTACTCACGCGCATCAGGTGATGAATGCAGTTTCGATTTTCAACAAAGCCTGTCAAAATTTTTCGAACTATGAACAATTAGGTTAAGCTAATTTAAGAATGTCGTAATTTATTTTATAATTATGGAAAAATAAAAGCGATGTTTTTCGAAGAAAATGCTCACGATTTTGCTTTGAATTTTTCTTTCCTGATGTTGGTAGGGTAAGTACTTAATATAAAGTCACGTTCAGGCACGTAGCGATAACGAGTGGCTGAAGAACTTCTCGAACTCTGAAATAAAAAATTATTTTGAGATTTTTTCTTCTAGAACCACGAGAAAAGTAGCCAACATTTGTGCATTTCATAAAAAAAAAATATAAATTAGTTGGTTCAGTTCTGTGAAATCGCTGGTTGAAAGTCACGCCAAAACTACTTGACAATGGGGTCAATTGTAAGAAAAGCATCGTCAAACTGCTTAACTCCCAATGACAGTTCCTGACAGCTTGTGTGTGACGTTTAAATGTTACGAGTCTGGGTCTCCCTCTCAGGTTGTGAGTATTGTTTCAATTTTCCGGTCAACGATATCGACCCAAATTTGCGTTCAGTTTACTTGTAAATTGCAAATTGTGCAGAATCTCAGCGGTGAGTAAATTTGCCTCATGTTTTCCAGGTTTTTCCTGGAAAATTCCCGAATATTAGAAAAGTAAAGATGGATTAGATTTATCAGAATGTTAATTTTTTTAACTTCTGTTCACCCGTCCGTACAAGCAATCTGGACAGTGGTCGACCGACAAAAAAATCGTTTCTTTCAGTCAAAATTCATATCACAAAAAACTTCTTATTTTTCTTTCGGTAGTTCAATTCATATATTTAAAGAAAAAAATGTTCGTTTATTCTTTAGGTTTGCCAAATCCGAACTGCCGTGCCTTCCGCTTAACCCCTTCCATTAAATTTTGCACAGTGGTCTCATCGACCTTATTCGCCGCCGAACGCCAGTTAGATTTAAACTGTTGTAGTAGTAAAATGTTCGTTTATTTCTGTTGTTTATGATTTATACATTGATTTTACAGGTTAATTGATTAGCCTATCTGGCTCTTCATCTTTGTTCATTGGATATTTGGATAATTGGATAATTTACTATTTGCGTATTTCATCTAGTTAGCAGAATACCCCTTGGGGAGTGTGTTTTGTTTTAATTGAAAAATTTGATAACCTACCTAACTACGACTCTAACTTAACCTAACGTGCCAGATCGCGTATAATCTGATTATCTGATCTCAGACAGGTGTCTCTGAACCTTTCCATGGAGACCGTTCGTCGCTCTTCGAGAGGCTGAAGGCCAGCCAGGCGGTGGACCTCAGAATTGCGGGTCCGTGGAGGACTGTTTAGTATCATCCTAAGGATCTTGTTCTGGATCCTTTGGAGTTTGAGGTGATGGCACATAGCACAACTCTCCCATATTGGCGTTCCGTACTCAATGGTGGGGAGGATGATTTGCTTGTGGATGGCAAGCTTGTTTTTAAGGGAAAGGGTGGACTTCCTGTTGATAAGTGGGTAGAGCGACCTAATCAAGATGTTGCACTTGGTGGATGTTTTGTCCACATGGGACCGGAATAGCAACTTGCTGTCAAGGGTGAGACCAAGGTAGACGACTTCACTCGACCATTCAATGGGAGTGTTATCAAGGTGGACTTTTGAGTTAGCAGGCGGAACAAGCCGGGGTGAATTGGAGTGTGGAAAAAGGATGTTCTGTGTTTTAGGTGCATTGATACAAATCTTCCAGCTTTTAAAATAGTCGGACAGAACATCCAGGCCTGATTGGAGTTTTCTTGTCAGAGCACGGATCACTCGACCCTTATAGATGATGGCAGTGTCATCCGCAAACATTGACAAAATACCACCACCCGGAAGGGGAGGAACATCTGACGTGAAGATGTTAAAGAGGATAGGACCAAGGAGGCTACCCTGGGGAACCCCAGCATCAGCGTTGAACGTATCAGAAGGAGAATTGTTCAAGAAGACCTGGAATGATCTGCCCGACAAGTAGTTTGAGTAGTTTGACAGTGGTGTTGAGTACTTGGCACTGATGAAGTCTGCAAGTAGTAGACGAAATACGCGTATCTGTCAAAAGATAAGCAATTATAACGGAATTTAAAGGAAATAAACCAACCCACCCAAAGCTCTTCATAGTTTTTGATGATCTTCACGAGGAAGATCGGGAAGCTGTATCGATGCAGCTTGTACACTAGGCCATCATGCCAGACATTGTCGAACGCCTTCTCGACGTCCAACAATGCTATGGCAGATGTATTGGAAACGGACTTGTTCCGCTTGATGATGTTACTAACCCGTGCGAGTTGGTGGATGGTAGAGTGGCCTTTCCTAAATCCGAATTGTTCTTTGAGAAAGATGTTATTATCATTTGAAAACACCAGCAGACGGCTGAGTATCAGTTTTTCGAATAGCTTCGAGATGGATGACAAGAGGCTGATGGGGCGATAGCTTTTGGCACTGGTAGGGTCTTTGCCAGGTTTGTGAATTAGAATAACTTTGGCTAACTTCCAGCATGCAGGGAAGTAGCCAAGCATTAAACACTTGTTGAAGACCACTGCAAGGTGCTTGAAGAAGTCAACACTCAAGTTTTTCAGCTCGAGGTTGACCACTCCATCGACACCAGCGGCCTTCATGTTCTTTGTTGATTTAATCGCTGCTATCACCTCATCAGCCGATATTCTACTTTCGTCAGGGACAACTACGGGAGTGGCAGCGACTCTAGACATTGCCTGTGATACTGCAGGCTCGTGGGGACTCACCATGGCGTGGCCAAGGTTATGTGAATTTACAAAGTGTTGTCCAAGAGCATTGGCCTTTTCAAATGGGGTTATTAGTAAAGATGGGTCCGAATTTTGGTTAGGAGAGGAAAGGGGAGGAATGGGCCTCGGTTTATTTTTCAAAATCTTTGCCATTTTCCAGAATGGCTTAGCACAATCTGGGAGAGAGCGAATCTTGTTTGCAAAATCGATATTTCTGAGATCCACCATCCTGGCTTGGATGATTTTGTTCAAATGGTTGCAATTGGTCTTCAGGTTAGGCAGCCCAGTACGCTGGTACTGCCTACGAATCGTGTTGCGGAGTCTAATGAGGTCTTTAGTAGGCCTGTCAGGGTTCAGAGTATTACTCACCTGTGTGGATACTGGCACATGTAGCTCCCTGGCACCGGTCAACATCTTCGGACGATTCCGGTTGGACATCGTAGTCTACAGCGGTGTCGACGCAATGTTGGAACTGACCCCAGTCAACACGATGATAGTTGCGCCGGAAAGCTTCAAATCGATTTACGGAGGATCCCACCTCAGTCACCACCGGGTAGTGGTCCGAGCTGAGTTCCTGATAGGTGATAGGTTGAGCGATGTTGTTGCCCATGTTGCTGATGAAGATATCGATGGTAGCGTGAACACCGGACCGACTCAACCGGGTGGGAGTTTCCGGACTCAAGATATTGTACTGCACTTCCTGCAGGTCGTTGTTCATGATGGTGCCGTTTTGATTGCGCCGATTGCTGCCCCAAGCTTGATGTTTGGCGTTCAGGTCGCCAGCGATGATAAAGTTTTCCCGTCGTCGTGTTAGCTTGATAATATCTCGTCGCAGATCTGCTGCCGATCCGTCCCTGATGTTGACTTGTTTGGGGTAGTAAGCCGCGACGATGGTGATGGGACCGATAGGAGTAGAAACTTCCACCCCTACGGCTTCGATGATCTTCAGCTGAAAGCTGGGCATCAGTCGACAGCAGATGTTTCTCCTTAGTGCAATAGCCACTCCTCCTCCTCCAGAGTTGGTTCGATCTAGCCTCACGAGCCGGAAATCGGGAAGGTAGACGTTTGTTTCAGGCTTCAGGTGGGTTTCAGTTATGATGGCAATGTCGATGTTTCGTTCATTGAGAAACTCAACAAACTCGATGTTTTTGCTCTTCAAGGAGCAAGCGTTCCAATTTACGATCTTGATGGCTTCACGGTCCATACTTAGTGACAAGGGACAGGGCAGCATGTAGCTGTTCAGATCGAGTCTTGCAGGTGCGCAAGATGATGATGACCTCGGCCACGAGCGTCACAAGTTCCTCCGAGGTGAACGGAGAATCGTCGACAGGCTCACCTGAGACAGCACCAGCGTATGATAAACCAGGGGCGGTGGAGGGACCTGGCATTGGCTGGGCAGCAGCAGCAGCGAGACGATGCTGGACTGTTCGATTGTTAGGAATACTCACATGCTTGACTTGTTGGTTGTTGAGTGTAAGTGGGACTAAGTTCGGAACATGTCGACGGGGCTGGAGAGCTGGGTACTGGACTTCCGCGCGTGCAGGAGGCGAACGATGATTACGGAGGCGACCGGGCTGATTATTGATCGTAGCCTTCCGACGGAAATTGATGAACTCCACTCGCTTGGGACATCCGCGATTGGAGGCTTGGTGGTTTCCACTGCAGTTGACACACGTTGGCTCGATGTCATCATCTTGCTCACAGGACGCA